ACAGACCTGTAACGTCTTCTGTAAGAAGCTTTTCTGTCCCCCACTCATTACCTGTATGAATGGCACCTGTTTGAACTCATCATCTGTATAAAAGACACCTGTCCACAGCCTCAAACAGTCAGACTCCAAACTCCGCCATGGCCAAGACCAAAGAGCTTTCGAAGGACACCAGGAAAAGTATTGTAGACCTGCACCAGACTGGGAAGAGTGAATCTACAATAGGCAAGCAGCTTGGTGTGAAAAAATCAACTGTGGGAGCAATCATCAGAAAATGGAAGACATACAAGACCACTGATAATCTCCCTCGATCTGGGGCTCCACGCAAGATCTCATCCCGTGGGGTCAAAATGATCATGAGAACGGTGAGCAAAGATCCCAGAACCACACGGGGGGACCTGGTGAATGACCTGCAGAGAGCTGGGACCAAAGTAACAAAGGTCACCATCAGTAACACACTACAACGGCAGGGAATCAAATCCCGCAGTGCCAGACGTGTTCCGCTGCTGAAGCCAGTGCATGTCCAGGCCCGTCTGAAGTTTGCCAGAGAGCACATGGATGATACAGCAGAGGATTGGGAGAATGTCATGTGGTCAGATGAAACCAAAGTAGAACTTTTTGGTATAAACTCAACTCGTCGTGTTTGGAGGAAGAAGAATACTGAGTTGCATCCCAAGAACACCATACCTACTGTGAAGCATGGGGGTGGAAACATCATGCTATGGGGCTGTTTTTCTGCCAAGGGACAGGACGACTGATCCGTGTTAAGGACAGAATGAATGGGGCCATGTATCGTGAGATTTTGAGCCAAAACCTCCTTCCATCAGTGAGAACTTTGAAGATGAAACGAGGCTGGGTCTTCCAACATGACAATGATCCAAAACACACCGCCCGGGCAACAAAGGAGTGGCTCCGTAAGAAGCATTTGAAAGTCCTGGAGTGGCCTAGCCAGTCTCCAGACCTCAACCCCATAGGAAATCTGTGGCGGGAGTTGAAAGTCCGTGTTGCTCGGCGACAGCCCCAAAACATCACTGCTCTCGAGAAGATCTGCATGGAGGAATGGGCCAAAATACCAGCTACTGTGTGTGCAAACCTGGTAAAGACCTATAGTAAACGTTTGACCTCTGTTATTGCCAACAAAGGTTATGTTACAAAGTATTGAGTTGTATTTTTGTTATTGACCAAATACTTATTTTCCACCCTGATTTACCAATAAATTCTTTACAAATCCTACCATGTGGATTCATGGATTTTTTTTTCACATTCTGTCTCTCACAGTTGAAGTGTACCTCTGGTGCAAATTACTGACCTCTGTCATCATTTTAGGTGGGGAACTTGCACAATCGGTGGCTGACTAAATACTTTTTTGCCCCACTGTAGTTCAGCTACGGTATAAGTCTCATGTCCTGGGTCACTTTCTTTACGAGGTCTTAGGAAGCCTGCACTTCCAGGCCGTGGTCACTGAGATTCAAACTCATTCGAGATTTGTAGTAGACACACCTGTGGTGTCAAGATGAAAATTCTACATCACCTTGTTCATAAGTTATCACATACGCAAGATCTTCAGAAAACTTGACCTCTGACCTTGTATCAATTTCAGGATCTGAAGTACCTGCCTTCCCGAGTTGTCACATTCACAAAATTTTCAGAAAACCTGATCTCTGACTTTGACCTTGAGGCCGAGCTCACTGAAATCCGACCCCGTCCTAGATTTTAAGTTGAAGAACCCATAAAATGAATTTGAAATTCCCGCGTCACGTTGATCTAGCCTGACAGTGGGACGACAACACCCCACCGGCTGAGTGGGTAAAAAGGCACCTACTCAGCAATTGTGATTACCAAGATTATTATTTCTGAAATGAGGTTTAAAGAAAGCAGACGTCTAAATGAAGTCATGTAAAAATGATGTATGATGGAAGCCAATGCAAAAAACTCACAGATGACAACTGCTCAATCTTATTGGTCGAAAGTTCAGAAAACAATATTACTAAAAATACAAATCATTTGATTAAATTTCTGAGCAGGTGAGCAGTAACCAATCCCAAAGTCCCACACTTTAATGCAAATGGATGTAATGTGCCGACCATGGCAACAAATGCCCTTTACAGGTTAACTGAGTGACAAACCGCCACACTGAAAGTAAAGCAACAAAAATCATCCAAAAATAATAATTCTCCCCCGACGAGAACAGTCAGCAGCAGTAACGTGTTTACCTAAAAAAACACCATTTACTAAATGAGCAGGAGACAGCGTTACAGTGTTTGTCATGTCAGATACGATCTTCATGGCCTGACTGCGACTGAAGAAATTATATTACAGTTATCATCTTTGCCACTGTGTAGCTAACTCGTGGTTTATTACTATGCATGTGACAATTCTGCAAAATATATCGTCCGGTTCAACGGCTCCATCATGCCTGTAAAATGTGAGAAGATGGAAGCACAACACAGAATAATCAATACATGTTTCTGTTATGATACATTTCAGATTTAGCAGCTTCACGCGTTTCTTCTCTGCGATTGGGGTCATTTACATGTAGCATTTCTTTAGAAAATAGTCACATTTTTCAACATCTTCTGGCATCTCCACTCTGATGATATGGTTTGACATGCGTGTACATGATTTGAAAATAAAACCTATTAAACATCAGTCTGCTAACAGTGATTATCAGCCTTGCCCATCGCTCTTCTTTAACAAGACCCTGAGTGGTTTTAGAGAGAAAAGTCCTGTTTGTTTGCTGCAACAGGCTCCAGAGCCTCAGGCTGTGTTTACTGCTGACAATATAGCAGAATAAGTATAACGGGTTCCTGAGTGATTTGGAAAAGGCTGCCAGAGAGACAGCCCTTTTTTCTGCGTGGTTGTTTGTCTATCAATTAGAGTGTCAATTAAATAAATGTGTTTGGGCTCCATCTTGCCGCTGGCAAAGAACAGAGCTGTCTAGAGACACACCTACAGGAGGTTCCCAGCCAAAATCACTTTCAACACATTCCCGCTCGATAAACACGATCACACAGAGATACTGGGCCTTGTTTGGGACTTACAAATCCAACAGCCAAACCACAGACTGACATTTTGTTCCATGAAATAGGGAGCTTAGCTGAAAATCTGCTGTTGCACAGCCACTGGAGCAACGGTGGGTTTAGCTGCAATGCAACTAAAGACAAAACAAACATTTCAAATGACTGATTGAACTCAGAATAAGACACAAACAGAAAAATAGATAAGTAACAGACAGTGCTGCAGCAGACTCCCATGTGAACTACTACTAATGTGAAATGCCAACAACATCAAAGCAAAATTAGTAACCAGTGAGTCCTCGATGCCACTATATTAGAGACAATTAAAGGAAATGTGAAACACTGCAATTTGTCATTGAGTTTGGAGAACACCTCCATATGACGGTCAGTGGAAACTCTGAGACTCTTTCCAAATGTAAATTCCACCACTTGTTATAAATGCCAAACACAAAATAAAGATGAACAAACACATTAACCCTTTAAGACCTACCATAGAACCAAGTCCACCAAAGCTTATATTATATTTTTACCTGCTGTGGAGCCATTTTTGGGAGCATTTCAAGTTGCTATACATCAATACAACCATTATAGCCCAGATTTTAATAATATGTCTGCATTAAGTGCATAGTAATTACATAAATTGCAAAAAAGTGCAATAAACTACAAAAAAATCGTTTTTGTTTTTTTAACATATATTTCTAGTTAGAGAAATTTAAGAGGTTTATCCCTCAAAACTGTAAATACAAAAAAGTTACACAAAATAGTTTCCACAGGAAATTTATTTTAAGTGTCTTCATAGTTTTATTTTTGAACTACACCAATTTTTATACACACTGCAGGAAAAACGAAAAAAAATATTATAATGCAAATTTGCAAAAAAGCAGCATATGCATCAAAATAAACTATTTCCAGCAGTGCAATATGAGTCCTCAGCATCCCAGAAACGACACAGAAAGTCATAAAGTCAAAGATAACTTTTAAAAAGACCAGTATAAGCTCATGAGGCCCTGATGGTAAAAAAAAAAACTACATTTCCGCGAAAATGACGTCACTTCCGGTCTCGGGCAGGTAATGGCGGACATGCGATAGTTCACGCTGATGGACGTAGGAAGTGTTACGAACAGCTGATCGGATCGGCAAAGCTGTTTCTGGAATATTGTGTTTTTGTTGCTGCAAGTGCTTTTTATGCAGTTTTTGCAAAGCTGTATGTGGAAGGAAACTGTGACCGAGGACAAGCTGATGGCATAAGATGTAAGTACAACTCCTCCGGTTTCATATGCAAAAAAATTATTAGCTTACGTGGTTGCAGTGATACTGGGATTTAAAAATAGTTGCGCAAAACAGAGCGTGCCCGCTCCGACCAGCTTTAAAGGGTTAATGCTACCAAACCAGAACCTTATCATCTAACGTCTCTGCTGTTTCCGTGACAGCAGAAACTGCTCCTGTTTGTGGACCGTCAGAAACAGTTACCTCCAGAGGAAGAGCTTTCAAGGCCATCGGAACTATGTTGGGGTGTCTAAATTTCTACGTTGGACGCAGAATGTCACGAAGAAAGGAAAACCAGAAACAAACAGACCACAGGCCCTTTAGCTTCTTGTAGCACAGTGTTGACTCTGGTCTTTACTGAGTTTGTTCAGTGGAAGAAAATCTAATACCCCCCATATGATCTTTTCCACATTGTGTGGGAGAAAGTCAAGACTCACATCCCTAACATGCAACCGCTGCTGGACCAGCCACTGTTGCAGCGTACCAGCGTTCATTGTTACAGATGCCATTAACCTGCAGTCATTTACAGCTTTATTGTCTTTGCTGTAACACCGTTCAGCACTAAAGACCAACTACATGGTTAAAACTGAACACAGAGGAAGTGAAGCGGAGAGATCGCCGTGTTGACTGTATGCACAAAGACAAGCTGTGATGTCAGAGCCACACAGGGTCACGGCTGTCAGAGTGGTAGTGCGATGTGGACAGACAGTCAGGTCTTACCTTCTAAGACAGTGAGCTTGGCGCTGGTGTTGATCTCTCCCACGCTGTTGGTGGCGGTGCATTCATAGATGGCCTCATCGCGGTGGGTCCTCAGCGGCTGGATACGCAGCACTGAGCCTGAGCCGTCGTCAAACTCAATCACCTGAATCGGACAAAGAGTGGGTGTGACACAACGCCTGTTAACTTAAAGCTTTTAGGAATGCAAGACAGCTTTGGAAGTATCCTAGTATCGCTAGTCTGAAATAACTGTTCAATCCTTACATATGCAGAGAATTATGAGTTTGGTGCACTACAATCAACAGTCTTTATCAGAAATAACTTAAACTGACAAAACAGTTTAAGCTATCCAGATGATTCGTTACATTATCAGTCTGTCAGGATGCTTTTAAGACGTGTGCAACATATGTAAGAGTGCTAGTTGATTATAAGGAGAAGTTTCTCCTTTTTAAAATGCCAAACATTTACACAACTGCAGGAACCACTTCTGCAAAAGCCGTCATTTTAACTCACAACACTAACACCACTGTGCTCGGAGGAAGGTGGGCTGCATTCATGTCTATGACCTTTGGAGGAACAAAAACATCTCTGCACCACTCCATCCATTACAATGCTGGTATATAATAATCAACCTCCAAATACTGCATGTGACATTCAAACGGGTCACATCCCATTGTGTGATTATTACTACTCAGTTTGTTCAGTGTTTCAAGCTGAATTTTCCTTTTTCATCATTTATAATGTTTCCATACTTTGAAACATTCCCCCTGTTTTGTCCAAACAGGTTTCTGTTGTTGTTTTCCTGCAGAAGACAACTTTATTTAAAAAAACAAAACAAAACGACGAACCGACTTAAATGGCAGCTTTGGAAAATACATATTCAAACAGATTTTATTTTTATCATTTTCTTTTTTTAATAGAAGAAAAAGAAAAACATCACATCTTCATGTAAACACTTTTGAATAGTCATCATGTTTAGGCTCATTCACGCCAAAATTATTTAGGCTAAATCTTTAAAACAGTGCCATTGCACACACTTTTCAATCACACAGATGCAGGATTCATTATTTGCAGTACAGTGGGGCAAAAAAGTATTTAGTCAGCCACCGATTGTGCAAGTTCCCCCACTTAAAATGATGACAGAGGTCAGTAATTTGCACCAGAGGTACACTTCAACTGTGAGAGACAGAATGTGAAAAAAAAATCCATGAATTCACATGGTAGGATTTGTAAAGAATTTATTGGTAAATCAGGGTGGAAAATAAGTATTTGGTCACCTCAAACAAGGAAAATCTCTGGCTCTCACAGACCTGTAACGTCTTCTGTAAGAAGCTTTTCTGTCCCCCACTCGTTACCTGTATGAATGGCACCTGTTTGAACTCATCATCTGTGTTTGTCGTTCAATAATGACTCAGGGTTCGTGAATATCATCGAGCATCATTTACTTCGAAACAAAGCAACCATTACACGTTAGTCATTCCATTCCAGGGGGCGGGTCCCCTCCTCTTGCTTCCCGTCTCACTGCGTGCATGCGCAGCATACTAATACGGAACAGGTATATTAAAGCAGCATTAATGAACAACATTGGTCAGATGTTCTACATCCCCTCTCTTTAGCTTATGGCTGTATAAACTGCTAACAACACCTTTAGCAATAACACGTTAACAACATGTCCATATCATAACATTCTAGCCTAAACATTAACAAATTACTTCACACCTTGAACTGTGTCATTGGTAAGGACACGGAGAGCATTTAACTTTGCTGACATCACATCACTTGTACTGTCCACTTTTTTTTTTCTTTTTTTTTTTTTTTTTGTTTGTGTTACTGTCCATCTCTTACGCCTTAGTGTTCATACTTGGGGTTTGGTTTGCAGACCCTCCCAGATCGTGTGATGTAAGCATCACGTGCCGGGCGACAGGGGGACTGGACTGGGGCTTGTGTGAAGTGTTGCGTGTGGCTATGTGTTTGTTCGTCGGTTTGTGTCACGGGTTCTTGAATCTGCTGTGGGGAGTCAGTGGTAGGTGGTTGGGCTGCGGTGTAATCATCACGGGAATCTCCATGTGGTGGTGGCGGTTCAGAGACTGGGAGGATATGTCTGCGGTTTCGCCTGTACTCTCCAGCTCCTGACTGGACGATGCACGATCTGGGCTCTTCGCGGGCTTCCTTGATGGTTCCTAAGGAGTCATGTCCTTGACGCGTTTGCATCCGCACAACCTCACCTGGCATGAGGGGGCGGAGGGGTCTGCTGGACTTGTCATAGTATCTCTTTTGTGCCTGGCGCTTGTGAAGTAGGTTTGTTTTAACTGTTCTGTTGCTTTATTACTGGTGTGACTTCTGGGTCTATTTTCATGGAATAGATAACCGGAAGTTTACCAAGTTTATCTTCGAAGAGGTGTTACACCCCGGCGTGTACTCTGAGAAGATCTGTTCTGAAAAGGAGCATTTCCACTTCCTTAGTCACGTGGTGGACTTCTTTGTTTAGTGTGATTAATTGTAAGTGAAGTGAGTCTGGTAAGCCAAGTAGGGGTTGTACGTCTCGTTTCACTATGAAGAACTGCAGAGGGTAGTCCTTGCCTGCAGAGTGGCATGAGAGTGTTGCTGTGCCAGCTGTTTGAATTTCCTCTCCCCCATATGCCACCAGTTTAGTGTTTCGTGATGGCATGAGTTTTTCATCATGTCTCAGTTGTTCAAAAAGGTTAGCTGGCATGACATTACATTTGGCGCCAGTGTCCACTTTGAGCTCTAAGGGTTTTCCATTAATATGCACCGTGGTGAAAATGTCATTCTTGTATGGAAAGCAGGGATTTATAGTGTCTATGTCAATTCCATTCACATAGAACATTTCTTCATCGCTGCCGTGCGCCTGCATTTCAATGTGGTTTACGGGTCTCTTTTTGAATTGCCGTGTTTGTGATGACTTGCAGCATTTCTGGAAATGATTCCATTTTTGGCACTTATGGCATTGCTGGCCATATGCTGGGCATTTGTCCCTTTTTGCCTCGTGGCTGCCCCCGCAGTTGTTACAGTTTGTGATTGCGTGAGCGAGCCTATGTTCTGGATGCGTTGCACGCCGTTCATTGCCTGTCTTTGTCTTGACTTTGTGTGGATTCTTTTTCTTTATTGTGTGATGCAAAGTGTCGACCTTTGCCGCCATTTGCTTTGGAGCCGCTAGAGCTTTCGTATGTCGATCTGTCTGCTCGAATATCTGGCACATTTCAATTGCTTTACTCAAAGTTAAGTCGCTGTCGCGCAGCAATTGCTTTCTCATGCTGTCGCTGTTTATGCCACAAACGAGTCTATCTCTGATGAGCTCGTCTTTAAGCTGGCCAAATTTACAACTGCCTGCCTTATTTTTTAAGTCACTCACATAAGACTCAACTGTTTCATCTGGCCGTTGGTTTCTGGTGTTAAACTTGTGCCTTTCCATTGTTATGTTTGTTTGGGGATTACAGAGTTCACGAAATTTGCGCTTTAGGCATTCCGGGTCTTCTCTCGATTCTGCTTCGGTCACCAGTCGTCTGTGTTCTCCTTCCCCCGCGTGCACAGCGGGTGCATAAACGAATGCGCGCTCCCGCTCGATGGCTTCAGAGCCGGCTAGGTTTAGCAGGATGAACGCGCTGGTCCGAGGATCCTTATCAGAATGAGCAGCGGCTATAAATATGTCATATTCCTGCTCGAATATACGCCACTTCTCTGCGATGTTTCCACAAAACACCAATGGGTCTGGTCTACGGAATCCGTCCGACATGGTCGCTGACGTTTAATAGCCTCTTGCTATGATAGCCTAGCAACGCTAGCTGGTTACTTGCTTGCTTCGTCCGTAAAGTGCTGGGAAAACTTTAGTCTTACCACTCCGTCGGCAGTGCTGGAGTAGATGACCGAACCACAACTTCTGACACCATGTTTGTCGTTCAATAATGACTCAGGGTTCGTGAATATCATCGAGCATCATTTACTTCGAAACAAAGCAACCATTACACGTTAGTCATTCCATTCCCGGGGGCGGGTTCCCTCCTCTTGCTTCCCGTCTCACTGCGTGCATGCGCAGCATACTAATACGGAACAGGTATATTAAAGCAGCATTAATGAACAACATTGGTCAGATGTTCTACAATCTGTATAAAAGACACCTGTCCACAGCCTCAAACAGTCAGACTCCAAACTCCGCCATGGCCAAGACCAAAGAGCTTTCGAAGGACACCAGGAAAAGTATTGTAGACCTGCACCAGACTGGGAAGAGTGAATCTACAATAGGCAAGCAGCTTGGTGTGAAAAAATCAACTGTGGGAGCAATCATCAGAAAATGGAAGACATACAAGACCACTGATAATCTCCCTCGATCTGGGGCTCCACGCAAGATCTCATCCCGTGGGGTCAAAATGATCATGAGAACGGTGAGCAAAGATCCCAGAACCACACGGGGGGACCTGGTGAATGACCTGCAGAGAGCTGGGACCAAAGTAACAAAGGTCACCATCAGTAACACACTACAACGGCAGGGAATCAAATCCCGCAGTGCCAGACGTGTTCCGCTGCTGAAGCCAGTGCATGTCCAGGCCCGTCTGAAGTTTGCCAGAGAGCACATGGATGATACAGCAGAGGATTGGGAGAATGTCATGTGGTCAGATGAACCAAAGTAGAACTTTTTGGTATAAACTCAACTCGTCGTGTTTGGAGGAAGAAGAATACTGAGTTGCATCCCAAGAACACCATACCTACTGTGAAGCATGGGGGTGGAAACATCATGCTATGGGGCTGTTTTTCTGCCAAGGGGACAGGACGACTGATCCGTGTTAAGGACAGAATGAATGGGCCATGTATCGTGAGATTTTGAGCCAAAACCTCCTTCCATCAGTGAGAACTTTGAAGATGAAACGAGGCTGGGTCTTCCAACATGACAATGATCCAAAACACACCGCCCGGGCAACAAAGCAGTGGCTCCGTAAGAAGCATTTGAAGGTCCTGGAGTGGCCTAGCCAGTCTCCAGACCTCAACCCCATAGAAAATCTGTGGCGGGAGTTGAAAGTCCGTGTTGCTCGGCGACAGCCCCAAACATCACTGCTCTCGAGAAGATCTGCATGGAGGAATGGGCCAAAATACCAGCTACTGTGTGTGCAAACCTGGTAAAGACCTGTAGTA